CCTCATGCTGTTACTTACATCTTCACTAACACACGTGGGTTATAACAAGGTAAACACAGAATTCCCCTCATCAAAGTTTTTTCATATCCTATTTTTTATTGAGGGGGCTGCGGTAGCTCAGTCTTGTAACMCTGAGGCTGCTGGTTCGAGCCCAAGTTGGGTAATGGAGGGCATCTGRCATAAAACARTCGCCAAATCTTTCATGTTCTCCGSTTTAAGTTCACCCGCTGTGGCGACCCCTGCAGAAAAGAGCAGCCAAAACAAAAACATGTTATCTTTTCCTTAAAAAAAAGGACATTTTAATAGAGGATTCATCTTGTCAGTGTGTCATCCTTTAATCGTAGTGAGTTTTATTTATTGGTTGTAGCTCGAAGGTGAACTTAGAGCTGTAACTTATTAAAGCTGAGCAACATGAATAAATAAAAACCATTAAAAATAAACATTTTGTTTTCATCCTCTTCAGATGCCGTACCAGAGGAGCTGGCTGAGCCCTTCTACAGGGACCAGTACAACCAGGAGCACCTGAAGCCTCCGGTCGCCTGCCTGCTTCAGTCTGCAGAGCTGTACTGCCGTGCAGGAAGCCTGATCCTCCGCAGTGATGCTGTTAAACCTTTACTGGGACACAACGCTGTCATTCAGGCCCTGGCACAGAAGGGTCTTTACGTCACCGACCAGGACAGACTGGTCACGGAGAGAGATCTGACCAGCACACCGATACACATGGTAAGTGGACACGTTTCAGTCATCCAAGAACTGGGTTGAGCCTCAGTATTTTAATTTTTTTCTTCTTTTTTTTTTGGTGGATTTTAAATCATAAGAAGAATATTTATTCAGAACCACATTTTCCATTTGCATATTTTTCCCACACCTAATATATTTATGTTTTCAGTACTGGTGTATATACTATTGTGTAACCATGGGGATTTGATGTGTAAAATATGAAGATCTCACCATGATTTGCCACATAGAGGTGACAAAACAGAAACAGAAACCTGCAAATTCTCCCAAATTCCAGCAAACAATCTGAATCTGTAATATACAAAAATGTCTAAACACAAACAAGAGAAAAGTAACCAGCCCCAGCAGCAGTCCTTTCAATTAAAGTGCCTGTGACATCCACTTTTTGTAATAAATATAAATGCATTTTTTTAAAGATAAAAACAAGACAACGTATTGCAAAAAATGTCCCGCTGCTGAGATGAACAGTTGAGTCATTTTGCATGTGAACTAACAGGAAGTGATGACAAAGGGGAATGTCTCCATGCGATCAGAGCAACTCTACTGTAGCCGTAATTCATCAGCATTTTTAAGGCACATTTTGAAGTATCGCATCAGAAAAGGTGAATGAAAAAAATCGAAAAAACTTCCTCTAATTCGCAAAAGAGTTGATGCGCTCGCTTGAGGTGGGTTTTGGGTTTTTCAAAAAAGAGTTAATGCGCAAAAGGAGAGATGGAAACATATTTGTCAAATCAGTTCTGAGGTAGCGAACATTTACCTCACATGGTTGATCTGCTGTTCCCGCTCTCTGACCGGTACCGGTACCAGAGCGACTGGCAGCTGGACCCTCCTCCCGCTGTCGACATCTTCTCAATCATTCCCGTAACGTGAAGAGATTTGCATTTCTTTCTCTACGTCTCCAGACAGCATGTAACATCGCCAGAACTAGTTGATATGACAAAATAAGTACAACTTTCCCGATAGTAGCAACACATTCCTGATAACTTCTCTCCATTGTCCTGGGATATGTAGTCTCAGCAAGTTTGCGACTTTTACTTCCTGTTTACTACACACATGCATCTGACATAACTAATTCGCTTCAAGCCAGTTGATGGAAACACGTTTTTCGTTTTTTCCTTTTTGCAAAATTTTAAAAATTTRCTCAAAATTTGAATTAAAATTAGATGGAAACGTGGCTAATGACTAACAACACAGACGGAGGAGAATCTGTTTCTTTAGATTATTTTGAGTCACTATCAGAGAGATGAAGAAAAGTTAGAGTTCAAATAATATTGTTTCAATAAACAAAGACCAGAGTGTTTTATTTCTTAGTTCCCTTTGATGTCACTTCCTGTCTCGCTTTGACTGAGCCAATTTCAAAAGAAAATATGCCAGATATGTGACAAAATGGGTAAAATTGTGTATTATGTCAAGTTTCATAAATATAAAGATGTTTTCTTTGACATTTTGTATTTGCATGTCACTGGCACTTTAATAACCAAACTAACTTCTGTACTTTCTGCTGTCAAACAAGCTTATTGTTTAAAGTCTTGTTTGTGATTGGCTTGGCTGTGTTCAACTCAGTTATATCATTTGTATGTTTGTCTTTAATTCACTCGACTTAGCTGTGTGTCCTCACAGATCTGATCCAAAGAGCCTCTAATAACAGGTCAGCCCGTTACTCACAACCACACAGAAATACGTTTGACCTCTGAGACGTCAAAATATCACTCAGCATGACTCACTTCTGGACTGTGTTTGTGGTTTTTCTTTTTCCAGAGTTATTAGAGACCTGATAAAAGCTCTCAGTATAATATCTGGACTTTAATATAACGTTCTCACCTTTTTAATGAATGAGTAAAGAGGCTGGAGTAAATCAAATGTGGCGTTTTAGTTGTGAAACGAGAACGAGCAGCAGACACTCTTCTAGCTCACAGATGGCTGGAGACGGGTCACTTCTGCTGATGCCAAAATGTGTCTGCATTGCAGAGAACCCCCTCCACACACACACACACATACACACACACACACACACTACCCAGCCTCACTTTGTCTCTTTGTGTGTTTTTTTTGTTGTTTCCTTGTTGTTATTTTAGCTCACATTTTCACTTCGCCATCTACGGCTTTTTGTGTTTTTGCCACTTTTCGTTTTTTTTTTTTGTTTGTTTTTTGTTGCTGTGTTTTGCATTGCTCGTCTGCAGCTCTGGAAAATAACTTAACGTAACAAAGTCAGCTGTGTTTGTAGCCTTCGTGTTTGATCGCGCTCAGCCTTTGTTAATTCAGGCGAGAACAGGAGTGATGGGGGATCACTCGTCCTATAAAAGTGCACCGCTTGTCCGGTTGCTTCTTGTCCTCTCTTGAGCATTTTCAGTGATTTAGCGATGACTTTAGTGCCATTGATCTCCTCTTTTGTATCCTCCTCTAAACTCCCAATAAGTCATTAGGTTGGTTCCCCCCAAAGCAGATGAAGTGTGTGTTTTTGTGCAGTCAGCAGGATGGTTTTCGGTGAGTAGAAGGCTTTTCTTTTTGACTTGTGGTATAATCTGCAGAGAAAATGATGAGCTCATGGTTTTCCAAACGCCGTGCTATAGAGTAATAACTCATGTCAGGGAGGAGGAGGAGTGTGGCAGACTGTAAGAGAGTGAATGAATATTGGGAAAATGCAGGGGGCGGGTGGCGTTTAGGAGCTGCCCTTTGGGTGTGATCCAGCGAGACGCCGAAAAGCAGAGCAGAATTAAAAAAAAGGCAAAACATGAATGTTGAAAGGTGGCAGGAAGGTTGCTAAAGAAGAGGTGAGGATGTGTGTTAGAGAAGGAGTGGAAAAGAACTCATTAATATGCCCATCTGGAAAAATGGAGAAAGGAGGGAAAAAAGTGGAGGAGGAGACGTGTGGAGCTCGCAGGGGAGAAGGGAGGGTTGTAGGAAAGGAGAGGAGAAGACGTGATGTGCACTACTGCAGCACTGTGGAGGGCGGGGTCTCGGGCTTGTGTGGCGCACGAAAGACACCCCTCATTACTCCTACTCACACACACACACATGCACACACACAACACTAAAGAGGTGTAAGACCTCCAGCAGCATGCACAAGGTTTATCTCTCCTTTTCAAGATCTCCTTGTTTTAGTTTTTTTCTCTTTCCTGCTTCATTTGGTGTAAAAATGCAGAGAAAAAGGTGTCGGAGGAGGCTGAGTGTCTGCAGAGGTGTGTGTGTGTGTGTGTGTGTGTGTGTGTGTGTGTGTGTGTGTGTGTGTGTG